CACACACACGCAGGCACAGAGAGAGAGAGAGAGAGAGAGAGAGAGAGAGAGAGAGAGAGAGAGAGATACATATACAGTATGTGTGTGTGTGTTCTGTGTGTGTGTGTGTGTGTGTGTGTGTCTGTGTGTGTGTGTGTGTAATTCAAGGAAATTTGGGTACTTTTTTAAATTTCAGAAGTGTTTGTGAAACTGGCCGCCCTTTGCAATGAATCATTTCCCAAGAAGTAGCTCTCACTTGCCCTGATATAGACGCTGTCAGCTGTGATTGATTTTTGTGTCATATTCGAGTTGCTCAAGACAAGTTGACGGGGACTTCTTTTAACACGGAGAAAAAGGAGGGGCTCAACAAACTGACAGGGATGTTACTGTTTCACACATACGAATCACAATTTAGTGTTTCAAATTTAACGAGAAAGTTAATCAAGACACACATTCAATGAATGACAATTGTTCATGAAAAACGATCTTGTGACTTTACCTTATGAAAACGTTTGGTGCATGCCACGTTGCATCCTGAGTGTCCACAAGTACATTAGGGCATTTAATTTTTTTTCACCACAAGAACCAGTGACTCTTCGTTTAAAGTGCATCGTGTTGCCTATCCCCGGTCTAGATTACCACATATAAATGTACTAAAAACTAATAATAATAATCATACTAATATTAATAATATCTATTTATTCAAACTGCATTCCGTGCAATAGTGTTTGTACCCTTATATATAAACAAAAAAGTACAGACATGGTTTCTTTACTAGCAATTGATGTTTTTTTTTTCCAACTACAAACAGTAACTATTAGTATTTAGGGCTTCAATTGTAATCCCAGGAAAGGCAAGGCAGCTTTCATTATATAGCACATTTTTTTTAGACAAGGCAGCTCAGTGTGCTTCACACAAGCAAAGACACAACATCTAAAATCATTGACAAACAGAACAGTTAACGGCATTCAGAAGCAGAGGAAACAAAGGTAGCTTCCCAAAATTACTAAAAAGAACATACAATGACAACATTTAAACACAAGAACAGAAAACCTAAAAAAAAAAGGTAAAAAATAAGATTTCTACAATTACTAAACGAAATAAGGTTAGGGTTCATCACAAAAAGTTGTACTTTGAGAATGAGAAAGGAGTGAATAGGCCTTCTATGTATATTTAAAGTGTACACAGTATTTACCAGGAGCCAAACACAAGTGACCTATCCATCCAGATTGACTTAAAAACAATAATGTACAAAAAAATAAATACACGAATTAAAAAAAAACACACAATGGAACGATAGATTAGTGATGAAGAATCAAAAGTACTTACTGTAACCGTTCTCACTATGCACACCTATGATCTTCCCATTTGGTAAAACTTGGAGGTGAAAGCCGATGCCCACGTTGCAGTAGAGCCTTCTGATTCTCTTGATCCCCCTCAGATATTCGCCATCTCCAGCAGTGAGCTCCCTCTTGTCCCAGGATCTGCCTCTGGCCCCCATCAGTGCACCGTGTATGGTTTGTGTCTCCCCACTGGTGACTGGAGGAGGAGCCATCACATTGCATACAAGTAGGCCTAATATGAGCAGAGAAACCTTGTACCTTAACTTTGGCATACTCTGCTCATCAGTCTTGAGAAGGGTAGCACAATTATATTTCCCCATTGTCATTTTAGATGTTCTTTTTCAGTTTTCCTTGCGTAGAGACTTATATACATGCAGACTTATACGTGCTGCATATTACATCACATGCCACCTGCTGTCTTGTTTGTGAGTGAGTCACAGATGCTGTAGATGGACTCTAACTGGGAAATGGGAAACACATACTGACAGAAAACAAAGACGTACAGTCAGTGGCGGACCCTCAGGGGCAGCAAGGCCTTCTCTACTGGCCTAAACATTCTCAGAAAAGTACATTTACTTTTCTGAGAATAACATTAATTTGTTATTTTATTTTCATAAATATGTAAACAAAATTATTCTCTGTATTCTTTACGTCATATTATTTCCACTTTGTCGAGTGGCTAATAACATTGAAAGCCACTCGATAAATAACTTATTTATTATGGTAGAGTTTTTAACCAATCATATTTCAGCTAGCTTTTGCTGCCAGGTAAATTAAACTTGCTCGGGGCATTCTGATTAAACAAAGCAGGCCCCTGTGCGCTGTAAGTGAACGGGCACAGTCAGGTTGCAATAGCCAGGTTGATCTGACTCGTCTGCGTACTAGGGCCAGCTAGAAGGCCTTACGTCGAGACTGGCCATGCGCGTTCGGTGATTGGATTAGCGCCTTTTCTGTTTCCTGAGAATTGTA